CCCCCCACTGTGAAGGGCGCGCGCGCTTCATACTTGCCGCAACACTGTAGTGTTAGTGACTCCTGCGGGCCGCCTCTCTCCGGCCGACTGTAACACGGCGCCGCGCCGCGGAGTGTAGTGGTGGCGCCCCGGCTGAAATATGACCGCCCCCGCTGGGCCATCCATTCCCGCGTTGCCGCCCCCGCGTGCCGCCCCCGCCGCCCCCGCGGCGTGCCGCATGTCCAGGTGCCGCACTGCTTAGCGCGTCCCCGCCGCCGTGGCGAAGGAGATCACAAGACCAACTTTACCGCTCAGCCATATTTAACCACGCGACCGATTCAAACAACAGAGGCGCCCCAAAGGAGGTTGCGGGCGACAGCTCCCAGCAGCGGCTGCAAGTACGGAAGTACGGCGCAAATCTACAAGGAACTGAACGAAAGGAAAGAGGGAACCGCGACCCGCGGCCGCGGCCCGACCCCGCCCGGTGCGTCGTAGCTGTTTTGTTTGCAGCTCTACAACATTCCGCCGTGCGAACACATACATGCACACCTCCGACATGTTTCTCCTCGCTCTCTCCCTCTCTCTCTTATTTTTTCCCTCATTCTGACGCCTCCCCCGCCTCACGCGACGGGCACGTTGCAAAGGGCCGCGCGCCGCCACTCTGGGGACATAAATAGCAGCTGCCGTGATATAGTAATGCCCAGCGCCATTTCAAACGTTTTACTGCCAGCAAACACATCAGAACACAATTTTTTCCCCATCTTTTTTCAGCTCTTTCGTTTCTTCAATCGTACTCTCCTTCTCTTTCTATTCCCCCTCTCTCTATCTCCCCTTGGTCCCCCGACCCCTGTTTCAGCTCTGTTCTGCCACAACCGCCTCTCCCCCTTCCACAACACCAGCCCCAGCTTCAATATATAGAGATGTGTAGCCAGTATGGCACTGGGGCTAATAACCTGTTTACGACCTACACGATACTTTTTTACTGTTCATCAGCAGTGCAGGGGATGCGAAAAGGCGGGGTAGCGGATTGGGGGAAGTAAGAGAGAAACAGGAAGAGATAGAGGAAAAGAGAGGAAAGACGAAGGGGATTTGGGAAGCAGCGGCCGCTGGTCAGCGTATCCGGACGGACTCCCACCGAGCCCCGAGAGGGCCAAAAAAATAGGAGGGGGAGTGAGTGAATTCTGAGGTGGGAGAGGGGGTGGGGTGGGGGTTGGAACGAGGGATGCGGTTAGCAGAGAGGCGCAC